AGTGGGGTGCAGGGCAGCTCAGCAGGGTGCTAGGGGGGCTCAGTGAGGTGCCAGGGGGGCTCAGTGGGGTGCAGAGGCCTCAGTGGGGTACAGGGGACTCAGCAGGGTGCAGTGGGCTCAGTGGGGTGCCAGGGAGGCTCAGTGGGGTGCCGGGGGGTAGGAGGGTTATGCAGTAGCAGGGAGGGCAGGGGGGTACTGATCTGCAAGCCTGGAGCACCCCCAAAAATGGGGGAGCTTTGTGTGTCCCCCGAACACTCTCCCCAAGCCTGACCCCATGGCTGGGCTGTGCTCCAGGGCTGGTAAATCCCCAAAGACCCAAAATAGGGCCACCACGGTGGTACGAGCTAACGGGGTGGCCCCTGGACTCGTGTGTCCCCCTCTGGTCCCCTCTGCCCCGTGCACCTGGCCAGAGCTCGGCCACCCCCCTCTCTGCCTCAGTTTCCCCTCCCAGCCTGCATGGGGACACCGGCCACCCTATTTCCAGGCAAGCCCGTCCCCGCCAGGCGTCGGGGCTGCTGCCGGGGCGTGCGAGAGAAAGCGGGTGCCGGCCCCACGCCGCCGGCCAGGGTTGCAGAACAGGGACAGGTCTGCAGCCGATGGAGGAAGCGAGAGGAGGAAGGAGAAGCGGCTCTGCCTGCGCCTCTGAGCTGCTGCACCCCAGGAGCGTGTAGCACCCATGGGTGGCACGGCGAGGGATTCGGGCAAGTGACACGGCTGGGGTCAGGGGTCCCTTTGTGCTGCAGCATCTTTCGCGCTAGTCGCAGCCTCTAAGAAAAGCAGGTGGCCTCTTCTCCAGCTCAGAGCAGCCCAGAGGCCACGTGGATGGGCTGTCTTAACCCACAAAACCAAAAACCTCCGGGACCAGGACATCACCAGTCCCACTTCCCAGATGAAAGTAACCACGAAACATCTGTGGGTCATGCTGGGCTCCGTGCAGGTGGCATCTCCCGAAACTCAGGGGACGCAGCCCGCTCCAGTGACTTGCCATAGGGTTTTGGCACCCCCTGCAGAGGAGCAGGAAGCCATGCCGGCGGCTAACAGCACGCCGTGCCGTAATTTCCTCTCCCACACCGCGATGAGGACAGTTTGGCATTGTGCAAACCTTTCTGTGGGGTGCAAGCGCCAGGACAAGTGGAGCTGAGATGGCGGCAATCACGGCCACCACGCTGTCGCCTGTGCCACCACTCCGCGCAGTCCCGCTCTCTCCACCTTCACCTTCCTGATGGACCCCTAAATCCATCATCATGGTTTAGAATCATAGAACCATAGAATCATGGAAAAGGTTTGGGTTGGAAGGGACCTCTAAAGGTCACCTACTCCAACCCCCCTGCCGTGGGCAGGGACATCTTCAACTAGATCAGGTTGCTCAGAGCCCCGTCCAGCCTGACCTGGAATGTTTCCAGGGATGGGGCATCCACCACCTCTCTGGGCAACCTGGGCCAGTGTCTCACCACCCTCAGCGTAAAACATTTCTTCCTTAGATCTAGTCTGAATCTACCCCCCTTTAGTTTAAAGCCATTCCCCCTTGTCCTGTCGCTGCAGGCCCTGCTAAAAAGTCTGTCCCCATCTTTCTTATCAGCCCCCTTTAAGTACTGACAGGCTGCAGTAAGGTCTCCCCGGAGCCTTCTCTTCTCCAGGCTGAACAACCCCAACTCTCTCAGCCTTTCTCCATAGCAGAGCTGTTCCAGCCCCCTGATCATTTTTGTGACCCTCCTCTGGACCCGCTCCAACAGGTCCGTGTCTTTCTTATGCTGAGGGCTCCAGAGCTGGACGCAGTGCTCCAGGGGGGTCTCACCAGAGCAGAGCAGAGGGGCAGAATCCCCTCCCTCGACCTGCTGGCCACGCTGCTTTGGATGCAGCCCAGGAGACGATTGGCCTTCTGGGCTGCGAGCGCACATTGCCGGCTCATGTCCAGCTTTTCACCCCCCAGTACCCCCAAGTCCTTCTCGGCAGGGCTGCTCTCCATCCCTTCATCCCCCAGCCTGTAGTGATACCGGGGGTTGCCCTGACCCAGAAGGATGGGGCTATGGGGTCGCACACACTGGTCCAGGTTCATCGTGCTAGGGTGGATGTGACACCACGTGGCCAAGTCACCAACCGTCCCTTTTGTCATTCGCAGGCACTGCTGAGGGGCCACACCAGCAGAGAGGACATCGACAGAGGGGACCACCACCATGGCCAACTTGACGGCCCCCACAGGGGCCGGGAGGAACTCGTGCACCTTCCATGAGGAGTTCAAGCAGGTCCTGCTGCCCCTGGTCTACTCGGTGGTGTTCATGGTGGGGTTGCCCTTGAACGCCGTGGTCATCGGGCAGATCTGGGTGGCCCGTAAGGCGCTTAGCCGCACCATGATCTACATGCTGAACCTGGCCACGGCCGACCTGCTCTACGTCTGCTCCCTCCCACTTCTCATCTACAACTACACCCAGAAGGACTATTGGCCTTTTGGGGACTTCACCTGCAAATTCATCCGCTTCCAGTTCTACACCAACCTACACGGCAGCATCCTCTTCCTCACCTGCATCAGCGTCCAGCGGTATCTGGGCATCTGCCACCCCTTGGCCTCGTGGCACAAGAAGAAGGGGAAGAAGCTGACCTGGCTGGTGTGTGCTGCGGCGTGGTTCATCGTCATCACCCAGTGCCTGCCCACCTTCGTCTTCGCTTCCACCGGCACCCAAAGGAACCGCACTGTCTGCTACGACCTGAGCCCACCGGATCGCTCCGCTGCCTACTTCCCCTATGGCATCACCCTCACCGTCACCGGCTTCCTGCTGCCCTTCATGGCCATCCTCGCCTGCTACTGTAGCATGGCCCGGATCCTGTGCCAGAAGGACGAGCTGATCGGCTTGGCGGTGCACAAGAGGAAGGACAAAGCCGTGCGTATGATTATCATCGTGGTCATCGTCTTCTCCATCAGCTTCTTCCCCTTCCACCTCACCAAGACCCTCTACCTGATCGCCCGTTCCTCGCCCAGCCTGCCCTGCCCGGCTCTGCAGGAGTTTGCCATCGCCTACAAGTGCACACGTCCCTTTGCCAGCATGAACAGCGTCCTCGACCCCATCCTCTTCTACTTCACCCAACGCAAGTTTCGCGAGAGCACCCGTTACCTCCTTGACAAGATGAGCTCCAAGTGGCGGCACGACCATTGCGTTACATATGGCTCCTAGGTGAGGATGAGGGCCACCTCGGTGTCCCTGGGACCGGGCATAGAGCAATTTTGGCTTTAAGCTCCACGGAACAGAGATGGCTTCAGCTGGGGACGTGCTGGAGGACAGGAGGACAGCATCTCCCGAGCTTTCAGCACTTTCATCCCGTCTCCAGCCTGCAGCGGCACAGTATTAACCCCATCACGGCACAGATCCGGCGTCCTCTCTCTGGCTCGGTTGCTCGGTTTGAGCAGCTTAGCGCCATGTTTCCTTGGTGGCCAAGCCACCGATGCAATAAAAACCACTGGTGGGACCATGGAGAACACAGTGGGACCGTGGAGGACACGGTGCCTAGCTCAGGGCGAGCTGCTAGGGCACGATTTCTCCCCCTTCTCGTTTAAAGCTTCCCTGATGGGGCCATGCGAAGGCTGGGGAGGGTTTGGCTCAGCTCGTACCTGTCTGGGGAACATGGGGCCATGTGTTTCTCCAGCTCACGATCAGCGTCACGGACATTTTTTGGGGTAATACTGGGACATCCTTATCCCCCAGTCCCCAGAATGGGGCCGGACCAGTAAGAGACATGGGCCCACTGGTACCACTGGTGCTGCAAAATGGTGGGAGAGCATCCCTGGCCAGACTGGGAGCTGGGAAGAGGGACATAAGGGCAACTGGGGCACCCGTGCTGGGTTTCCCACCCAAGTGATGACCATGGGTTGGGTTAGACACAAGCCAATGATGTTGTCACCTGCCTGGGCACCTTCAGCATCATGCGGGTCCAGCTCCCTGCTTAGCCCAGCACCCCAAACCTGGCCCATCCCGGCATCCTTGTCATCTTGCTGTCACCTCCTAACCAGGATCCACCAAAATCAGAGCCGGCACACCCAGACACGACGCCAGGAGTCAGGAAACCCATGCCACCGAGCTACTCGGTGTCCTCGGCCCTGGCACCGCACGTCCCACCGTTGGCTCAGCCTCTCCACCAGCCCCACGCTGGGTTGGGGCTTGAGCTTTGCTCCCTGCAGCCTCCGGCGGGATGCTGCTTCCTCCCGGCAAGGAGGGATTTGCTTACACGGCGCGGGGTGGATGTACCACTAATCGCTCTGCGAGTCGTCTTTAATATATAGGATGTATAGAATAAACCTCCCCCCGTTTTTCAGCTGGATATGTACACATCTATACACCCACCATATATACATACATATAATACATCCAAGCAGGGGAAGGTTTGTAGCCCAGCACAGGCTACGTGGTGCAGATATTCTCCGCCCTGAATACACTATACGTATCTATCCAGGGTATATACATATATATAGGGATAACTGTTTCGGTGCATTTCTCACAGGTTGTCTGTGCATAATAATCATGGCTAAGTTGATTTAAGCAATTTGCTTCAAATCTCCAGAGATGAGCATCCCTCCTGCACCCGGCCAAGCGTGCGACTTCATCCCGACTTGCTCCCTGCAAGCGCGCAGCATCTTCCTCGGCTACCCGGCCACCCAAGGACCTCGCCAGCATCCAGGGCTGGTGGTCGCAACGTGGCTCCTTGCTGTCGCGAGGAGGAGGAGGGTGCCTAGGGTGGTCGTCAGCTCTTGGATGATGCTAAAAGATCTCAGCATCGCGGTGGGCTGGAATGGAGAGGGATCCTGTGACGGCGTTAGCTCAAGCCACCTGGTTTTGCAGGAGCGGTGGCCACGTCCTGGTGGGGAGGACCATGTATGGTGCCAATGGCTTTGGGTTGGAGCACAGAAAGTGATGGAAGAGGCAGAACCAGCCCCGGGGTTTCCCTTGGCCAGAGCTCATCCGTGCCAAAATCTCCTCCGACGTATTTTTAGGGTCCCGCAATGGAAGGGCAAAATGCCGGGGGCTGCGAGAGTGGTGGCCAGTGGGACAAGCCCAGCCTGGTGTCCCCAACTCTTTCCAGACAAAAGGAAGGGTGACAGGGTGGGAGATGGCGGGCCACACCATCTGGACCCAGGAGAGGGCGCAAAATATTCAGATTTGGAGAAATTCAGCTGGGGCTGTGGGTGCCCACCTGGCTCCAGGGAGGCATGGAGGAGCCCTGCTCCCTCACACCAACCCGTGCCTGGACAGCACCCATGGGACGAGGTGGCCAGCCAAAATTTAACCGCAACGCAGCTTTGAGGGGAAAAAAATAAGCAGGTCCCAAAAAGGCTGGTGGTGGCTCCAGGGACAGCGTGGGCTCAGGTGGTGACATCCAGCAGCCCCAGGACACCCCGATGAGGTCCCCGATGGTGGAATCATGAATTTTGGGTGGTTTTAAGGGTAGGAGGCACATGGAGCTCACTAATTTTTGCACTTTGGGTCTAACCACGTCCTGCCCGGCCTTGGGATCCTGTCAGCAGTTCCCTTGGTACCTCCAGGCCTAGAAGCCAGGGTGATGGGCACAACGGGGCGCCTTAGAGGTGGGGTGGGTGCTTCAAAACGTCTTCGCTTGCGAGATGCTCAACACCAGCAGCCTGAGAACCAGCTCCTACAGCACCGAGAGGCGATAAAACATGTGGCTTTTCCCAAAATCCAATTCTGAACGCCAGGTGACAGTGGGGACGTCATGGGGACATCGTCCTTACGTCCGGGAGACACCCAGCCCTGGGGGAACCAGGGGAGGAGGGCGGAGGGAGGGAAGGGAGGGCCGGGGAAGGAATACCTGCCGGGGCAGTACATCTCACAACATAGCCGGAGGCACATTTTAGGTCCTGAAAAATGCATTTACAGGCGTTGGATTTTTTTTTAATCACCACCAGGTTTTTTTTGTGCCCCTGGGACAGAGCCAGCAATGTCCTTTACGTGGCCAGGACACCTCTCCAGCCCCATCCACGCCGCCAAGGCCCCAGCTCACCCATCAACCACCCTCCAGCCACCTTCATTTTTCACATCCCCAGCGAGAAATCCGTTGTCTTGGGGGAAAGGGGGTTATGAGCTGCAAATAGCAAGCGCTGACAAGCGATGCTAAAAAATCACGAGAAAGTCTGTTCGCGGGGCGGTGCGTCGCCGGAGCTCTTTGCAAGTTGGGAACAAGGTGTTCTGCCTTCCCCGAGATGAGTCGCAAAGCAGGGGCCGGAGAAATCCACGGCAAAGGGAAGGATCTCTCGCTGGCGCCCAAATTTTTGCTTACTTATCCTGTTTCCCCCTAAAAAAAAAAAAAAAAAAAAAGAAAAGCTGGGAGGAGATGGAGGGAAGGGGATGAAG